ACATCTTTTTTTTTATTCTATCACTTTTGATATGGAAGAATCCCTTTTCAATATAGAATGTATCATTTATAGCAGAATGTAAAATAACAAAAATACCGAACTCCAAGGAAAATTCAAAACGGAAAGTCCCTTATCAAAAGGCAAAATGAAAAGATCAAACACATCAAACGAATGGAAAACAACTGTCATATCCTGACGTGGTACAGGCATTTCCTTATGTAGAAAATGGTGGATTAAACCTGGTTTTATAGCTAGCTAAACCTATCACTTGTATGACAGTCGCATAAAATTCCATTATATTGACAACAATGTGTGAACAAAACAAACAGACATAATAGGTAAAAATGTCAAAAATAGGGGCACAGCAGTCAACATTGTGTCAGCCAGCAACTGTTGGTTGGGAGTGGGATTTCAGTTTATCTACATTATTTTTAAACAAAAGTAACATGCATCGAACCATATAACAACGTAGAGGCAACACATAAAACCCGGTCACCTCGTTTAGAATTATAGAATTTATGACTGGAGACAACAATAAAATGATTATTTATTACGCGCATGTCTATATTAAATACATTCGTTATCTCATTTATCATCCAGCAGTCACTGATATGACATTGGATATATAGATCAGAGAACCAAAGAGAAAATAACACTTTAAATAATTTTGTGCGTCCAAAGTGCTTTTCTGGATTTAACTTAATCAGAAACGCTCAAGGTTTCAATCGATCAACTTATACCATGTTATAGTGATTGTTTACAAAACCATACAGGCATCAAACCATTTATGCATACCGTGTTCCATACCACTCCATCGAAGAAAAAGCACGTTTTACAGTTTGCCCGTTTTCAATTATATTCGTGTTTTTGTTTGAAAAAAAAAGTTACATGTTAATTGCTGACATCTGTTTCTTCCGATGGCAGACAATAAAAGTGACCTCTTTACAGTGAATGACATTTACAGTTGTCTACATCAAAAGCGGAAGGTTGTAACTCATGACCAAAATAAGACTGAATAATGTACTTCAAAAGTGTACAAAAAGATTGAGCTTTCCTGAAGACGGCAGATCCAGAAAAGTATTGTTGGTTTTCTGGTCTATCCAAAGTCATTTCAGTGACTACTAGGGTGATTAATGAGATAGCAAATATATTTCATAGACATGCGTGTAATAAATAATCATTTTATTGATGTCTCAAGTCATAAATTCTATAATAATAAACGAGTTGACCTGTTTATGTGTTGCGTCTCCGTTTACCAGATCAAATCAATCAGTATTGCTATATACCGCAAAGGTAGTATGCAAACTGTTACAGTAGTTTATTATCCTCCCTAATGATTGTTCAGTTTGCCCTAGTTACGGAATGATTTGGAAAAAAAAACTGATTCTCGGATTTCTTTTCCACTTGAATTCTTTGCGTATTTCTAATGTTATTAGTCTTGTCTCCCTTTTTATCGACCCAGTTTTACAAATATTAAAATCAGATGGGGAAAATTCAAAATCCATGACACATTTGTACATGTACAATCTATCACAGGCATATTCATTCAAACTAAGTAAAAAAAAATAACAAGAATGTGTCCACAGTACACGGATGCCCCACTCGCACTATCATTTTCTATGTTCAGTGGACCGTGAAATTGGGGTCAAAACTCTAATTTGGCATTAAAATTAGAAAGATCATATCATAGGGAACATGTGTACTAAGTTGAAAGTTGATTGGACTTCAACTTCATCAAAAACTACCTTGGCCAAAAACTTTAACCTGAAAAGCGTGACAGACGGACGGACGGAAGAACGGACGCAAAGAACGAATTTAACATAATGCTCCTAGGTGGGGCATAAAAAACAATTAAGAATGATTCTGCGGTTTGAATAACAGTGTCCATGTAGTTACTTTAAGTGTTTAAAACAGAAAAAAAAATAATGGCAGAAACTTTTTCTTTCCAAGACATGTGTTTTCATTAACAATATAATTCACTGTTTTAATTAAACTAACATCTTTTTTTTTATTCTATCACTTTTGATATGGAAGAATCCCTTTTCAATATAGAATGTATCATTTATAGCAGAATGTAAAATAACAAAAATACCGAACTCCAAGGAAAATTCAAAACGGAAAGTCCCTTATCAAAAGGCAAAATGAAAAGATCAAACACATCAAACGAATGGAAAACAACTGTCATATCCTGACGTGGTACAGGCATTTCCTTATGTAGAAAATGGTGGATTAAACCTGGTTTTATAGCTAGCTAAACCTATCACTTGTATGACAGTCGCATAAAATTCCATTATATTGACAACAATGTGTGAACAAAACAAACAGACATAATAGGTAAAAATGTCAAAAATAGGGGCACAGCAGTCAACATTGTGTCAGCCAGCAACTGTTGGTTGGGAGTGGCATTTCAGTTTATCTACATTATTTTTGAACAAAAGTAGCATGCATCGAACCATATAACAACGTAGAGGCAACACGTAAAACCCGGTCACCTCGTTTAGAATTATAGATTTTATGACTGGAGACAACAATAAAATGATTATTTATTACGCGCATGTCTATATTAAATACATTCGTTATCTCATTTATCATCCAGTAGTCACTGATAAGACATTGGATAGATCAGAGAACCAAAGAGAAAATAACACTTTAAATAATTTTGTGCGTCCAAAGTGCTTTTCTGGATTTAACTTAATCAGAAACGCTCAAGGTTTCAATCGATCAACTTATACCATGTTATAGTGATTGTTTACAAAACCATACAGGCATCAAACCATTTATGCATACCGTGTTCCATACCACTCCATCGAAGAAAAAGCACGTTTTACAGTTTGCCCGTTTTCAATTATATTCGCGTTTTTGTTTGAAAAAAAATGTTACATGTTAATTGCGGACATCTGTTTCTTCCGGTGGCAAACATTAAAGGTGACCTCTTTACAGTGAATGACATTTATAACAGTTGTCTATATGAAAAGTGGAATGATTTAGAACATGACCAAATTAGATATGTATAACGTACGTACGTAAAAAAGTGTACAAAAAACACTACGAAAATAAGTAAAAAGAAAAAAGAATAATATGGTAGGCATGAATTTTTTACGGTGTGTTGCTGGTAAACTACGAAATTTCTTATTTTTAAATCTTCAGATATGAAAGTTTCCTATGAAGAACCATAAAAAAAAATCGTCGTATTTTACTTTGAAGGATAAGATAATAAAGAACAAAAAAATAGTTGAAAGTGTTTCTGTGCCGACCAATTCATTTTCGAAAGAAAACTTTAACCCTCGTTCATGCTGTGACATATGCAGGATGGATATAATCAGAATCTAGTGCATTTTGGGTATTATTTTTAAAGGCGTTATTCAAATTGTTGTAAATGGTTTACAATCACTCTGTTGTACAAACAATAAAATTACCCCAAATCCTTCAAATTCTAATTGTACGGCGAATGAGATAAAAACAATAACTTGTGTTTGTAGCGAGTGGACAACTATTTAATTTTTTGCTGGGAGAGGGTACTAGGATAATTTGGAAAAAAAATAACTTGGCCAGGGAAGAACTGAAATGAATTTCTTTGCGCAAGACAAAATCAAAATGAATATTCTGTCATATATTTATGACACAAAATGCAGGAAACAAATTTGTACGATAATGAAAAAAAAAGCATGCGAAGCAACAGGTGAAATTAAAAAATCAATCCGAAAAAATCCTTTCGACCCCCCTCCCCCCCCCCCCCTTTTCCAAATATCAAATGGTCTTCCCCTAAAAGAATACGAGTACACAATCTGTGTAATTGTCGAACTGGCAAAGTTATCGAACAATATCAAAAGGAGCTCAAACACAACTGTTAATTTTTGTACGGACGATTAAAATTCTTCGATCGACTTTTGTTCATTGCTGATGGCCGTACGGTGACCTTGCTTACATTGTACTTCTATGTAATATACTCTCTTGTGGACAGTTGTCTCATTAGCAATCATACAACATCCTCTTAATTTTTGTTTTAACTAGGAAAGGAGTCGCGTTTAGTATAATAAAACGAGTCGATCTTTACCGAATATGAATATTCAGAAGATTTTTTTTCACAATGAATGGAAACAAGTTGGGTATCATTCAACATTTTTTCATTCTTTTTTGTCTATTTCAATATTGTTCGGACCTTAACAAAAAAACATTGACAGTAACGAAAACTGCAAACTGCATGTAAAAATTCAAAATCGTCGAATGTATACATACTTTAGCAGTTGTATCTGTGAGTTGTCGTATTACCTTGTGCATTTATAACAATCTAATTGAAATACTGGGCTGGTATGCATAAAAACACTTAAGTTAAGATATCCAATCGTAGTACTAATCTATCGTACGACATGTAGAAAAATCCGTCCGTTCGGAACAAATCTTAACTTAAGTAGTTTTATGCATATCAGCCCAGATCATTTAGTCACGCTTTGCTTACAAGGATATGAAAATAGTTCGTTCTCCTTTCTGTTCTGCTAATTAAAACATCAGTCAATGAAATTTCTAGCCTTCATATTTTGAAGATGTGTATCATTACGACAAAACAAGGAGATGTCGAAAGGTCTTTAAAGCAGAAAGTAGAACGATGCGTTGTCATGAACTTGTAAGGGTGCTACCATTTGATTTTTATGGGGGTTGGGGGATAAGGGGTGGGGGTTGGGGGATTGCTAGGATGAAATTTGAAAAAAGACAGGACAGGAGTTTTGAGTAAAAAAAAAGGCAGAATGAGCAACTTGGCAAAAAAAAGGCAGGATGACATTTTATGTAAAAAAAAGTCAAGATAAACTAATAAAAAAAGGCAGGACCGAATAGAGTGAAAAATAAAAAGGCAGGACAGAGATTACAACTAAAAAAAATAAATGCAGGACAAAATTGTTTATCCTAGCTCCCCCATAAAAATTAAACGGTAGCTCCCTAAGCGAAGCTTAAACACAGGATCTGTATTCCTTCAGATTGCATTTGTGAATACTTTATAAACTTACTTTGTAAAGCCTGTATTCTGCCAACATCTGCTTTATGTTCTATGTTTCCTAATGGTATTCCGAATACAGCTTCCGGTGGATTTCTTTGCACGTGAATTATATTTGGCACTAGATTTAATAAATATACCCAATAGAATCCGAATGGCGGATAGTCACCATGAACCATTATCAAACATGGTTTTAAAAACTTACTAGCACTAAGAAAGCTAAGAAAATGATAAAAATTCATTTCTTTTTTGGAAAACCAGATATAATGAACTAGACTTGGCACTGGGTTGCCATCGTAACAGTTCTGCATTACAAATTCAGAAATGCATTTTGAATTTTCCGGAAAAGTTTGAATTGGCGTCATTTGTTTAACGTTCACTAATTCGATGGTTGGTTTACTCTTACATTTGATATAAACCTGCGCACGCGCAGATGTCGCACTTAAATGTGGCATATCAGGACAAAGCGATACGCAGTTGAAATCCCACTTATGAGAATTTTCTGCAGGACATCGGGCAGGTTTTTGTCTTGTATTCGTCTCTTCGTCAAAATATGATGTTAAATTATCTCTTAATTGATCCAGTAAGACTGACTTGTCGAGAGCTAACGTATCAACAGACCGGGTACCAGGACGGGAACTGTTTCCTGTTTTGTTGATATTACATGAACAGTTCGATTGTTCAGATATGCACCGAGAACTTGTGCAAGGTTTCTCTGAAAATGAAATGAAAAGATTTTTTATAGGTCAAATTATAAAATAACATGAAAGATGCTATATTATATGTTATGTTAAATTGTTTAGTACAAAATTAATTGAACACGAAGAAAACAAAAAGTATTCACCAGAGCTGCAATGAAAGGAAAAAAAGTAGGACAGAAAACTCATTCTTATTCCAACATTCAAAATATCATTACATCAATTATACAAATCCTTTTTCAATATTTCAACATTTATTTTTCAATACAGTAAGTACAGTGGATGAACATGATGAATATCTTATTATTTTGGATTAAAATTAGTTTTTTTAAAATGCTATTAAAACAGGCTACATGTTGATATAATCACTTGTTTGAAACATAATAATTTGTATGATATCACTAAGAATTACAAGTAAGTTTTCTCAATTGAATTGTTTCGTATTTTTCATGTCGGGGCCTTTTATAGCGAAAGATACGGTATGGGTTTTTCGCATTGTTGAAGGCCGTGCGGTTGCCTATAATTGCTTACATCCACTTTATTTGAACTTTGGTGGATGGTTGTCTCATTGGCAATCACACCTTATCTCCTTAGTTTTATAATGATGTTATGAATATATAAAAATACTAAAATTTGAAGATCTACTAAATAAATGTATGTCAATATTTGGAATATAATTTAAACAGTACTTTACATCAAGTGTATTCCACGTTAGCTTATTGCCTAGGACTTAAGCTTAATGCCTAGGACTTAAGCTTATTGTCTAGGACTTAAGGCCTAATTTTACTTATTGCCTACGACTTAAGCTTAATGCCTAATTTTACTTATTGCCTAGGACTTAAGCTTAATGCCTAATTTACCTTATTGCCTAGGACTTAAGCTTAATGCCTAATTTTACTTATTGCCTAGGACTTAAGCTTAATGCCTAATTTACCTTATTGCCTAGGACTTATTAATAAGCTTAATGCCTAATTTTACTTATTGCCTAGGACTTAAGCTTAATGCCTAATTTACCTTATTGCCTAGGACTTAAGTTTAATGCCTAATTTACCTTATTGCCTAGGACTTAATCTAAATGCCTAATTTTACGTATTGCCTAGGACTTAAGGCCTAATTTTACTTATTGCCTTGGACTTAAGCTTAATGCCTAATTTTATTTATTGCCGCTAACATAATTGATCAAAGACTTGTTAACACTTGGATTCCTCTAATTACACAAAAATGGACCAATTAAAATCTCCTAAAATAGAGTAACTCCTGGGCTGATATGCATAAAACCACTTAAGTTAAGATATCCAATCGTAGTATTAATTAATCGAAAGACATGAAGAAAAATCCGTCTGTTCGGAACAAATCTTAATTTAAGTAGCTTTATGCATATCCGTTCTGATCTTTTTATAGTTCTACACCGGTATGATAGATAGGTACTCATCATGGTCAACAAATCTTAACTTAAGTAGCTTTATGGATATCAGTTCTGATCTTTTTATAGCTCTGCACCGGTTCAAATACAGGTAGATACGGGTACTCACCATGGTCAACAAATCTTAACTTAAGTAGCTTTATGGATATTAGTCCTGATCTTTTTTTAGTTCTACACCGGTATAATAGATAGGTACTCACCATGGTCAACAAATCTTAACTTAAGTAGCTTTATGGATATCAGTCCTGATCTTTTTATAGCTCTGCACCGGTTCAAATAGATAGGTACTCACTATGGTCAACAAATCTTAACTTAAGTAGCTTTATGGATATCAGTCCTGATCTTTTTATTGCTCTACACCGGTACAATAAATAGGTACTCACTATTGCCAACAAATCTTAACTTAAGTAGCTTTATGCATATTAGTCCTGAACTTTTTATAGCTCTACACCGGTATAATAAATAGGTACTCACCGCTGCCAACAAATATTCGATGATGTCTTGATTGTTGTGTTATTATATACTGTTGTTCCCATACATTTTCTCTTTGTATGTATCCGAATATTATAAGTAAACATAAAACTATTGAAATTATAACATTTCTCAAATTTTCGTTCATTTTTATTTATGTATTCAACCTACATGCGCATATCGCTTTAATTGATTCGTATATGAAATGGTAATTTCGAAAATTCAATATCTAGGTTAAGACTTTTTTCTTAGTTTTATTCTTTTTTCTTTTTTTTTCTCTCTATTCCACAATTTTATCAATCTGAATTATCCATATTTCATTATCACAGAGGAAATGAATAACAATGCTTTAGCATTTTGTCCTGTATATTGAAAGTTTTTTTCTGTCGTGTTGAAACACATATCCATCCTGTTTCAAATTTTTGCACTGAATTTTTATATGTGTGCACTAAACAAGTGCATCATAAAATTAGAATTCAGCTCCAATTTTTCTCCCATACTTCTATAGTAATGATGAATTGCTTAATGTGATAAAGACATGTACAAATTTGCAACTTTTACAACAATTATAACAAATCTATTGACAGTCAGCTGTTTTTCATGTATTGCTACAACCCGTCCACTTTGAGTTGCAATCTATGTTAAATGTATTGCATTACAATCTATCATAATGTCATTTGAGCATGACGGCTGAATAACCATTGATTAAAAAAGTGAAACAATGTTTCTCGTGTAACAACATCGACATAATAATAATTTGTTCACTACAACTTTAACTGTAATATCTGTGCCCCTTTGGGCATTGGGGCGTAATAATTGACAGAAAACATTTTTGTTTATTTTCTGATACATGCAGTTAGATGACAACCATTTGTTTTTCTGGGGCGGAGTAGGGGGCGAAAATGCAGGAGAATTTTGAACTTGAAATGAATAACTTAGCTTAGAACTGAATATCAATAGATTTGCACAAGACAGGTTGAAAATGATTTTTCTGCTACACAATATTCAGGAAACATAGGTGTACTTATGTGAAAATGAATTTTCGCGCGGAAAAAAAAATATTATGAGTAGCGAAGAGATGAAAATAAATGATCAATGTCAACCAGCGGGTTTCAGCTGGCCACTAAACAATAATGTATACTAGTTCAGCGAATATAGACGTCACACTAAACTCAGAAATATATAAATGAACCAAAATAAAAAAAAACAACATACAAGACTAACAAAAGCCAGAGGTTCCTGACTTGGGACATGCGCAAAATGCGGCGAGTTTAACATGTTTAACATGTAGTTAGGTGACGGCCATTTGATTTTCTGGAGCAGGGTGGGGGTACGAATGCAGTAGAATTTTGAATTTGAAATGAATAACTTGGCCTGGTAATAACTGAAAATAAATAGATTTGTACAAAACAGGTTGAAAACGAATATTCTGCAGCACAAAATTCAGGAAACAAATGTGTTCAAAAGTGAAAATATTAGTTTGCGCGGCATGTTCGCGGAAAAAAAAATCATACGAAGCAACAGATGAGAATAAATGATCAATCCAGAAAAATCCTCCTTGTCCCTTTCCCAAATGTCAAATAGTCGTCCCCTCATATTGGAAAATTTGTAGACGCAAATAAAGCCTCCAAACAACAGATTCAACGAAATTCTAAGAGCTTGAATCATAAGATTGTTTTAAGCATTTAAGGCGAAGTGTACGTAATTGCACGCCTCTAGCGGAATTCAGGATAAAAAACGTGCGTCGTTAGTTACGCGGGTTATCTCCCCTACTCCAAGAAAGGAAAAATGGGCACATGAAAGAGAAATGACTTCGTGCGGTCTATCATGAATTCAAACAAGTATTCATGTGCTATCTCAAAACTTCAAAGAAATAATTAGAATGACTCCAATCAGAAATCTGAGTATCCTATTGTGAGTTAGTCTGACTCTATTACCACTTTTTTTGTTTTAGACACGCAGGAGCAGGTACACAATACGACTCGTGTTTATTTCAACAGAAGGTAAAAACGCCTAAACAACAAAATTATAACCAAATAAAAAATAAACCAGTGACAATTCTGCTTCTATTCGTATCAAATTCATTAAAATCAAACCAGAATTGACCCCACAATAGTTTTTGAAAAACCATAGTTTTGAATGAAATGCACAGTGTACTGTAGATCCTGTAGCGTAAAATTGTAGGTAACGAATAATTATATTGCATGTGAATTTGTGTCTTGAACAAGAAAGACGTTGGCATGTCCGTTTTTATGCAATTGAAAATTTTATGATGTTTTATATTTTATTATTTATGTAAAAAGTATAAAAGATACTAAGGGGTAATCGACCACTAGTACAACATTTATAAGCCGAAGAAAAAGCCAACAGCAAAAAAAAACCCATCAGATTCCGTCCACAAAACATTACACACTCAGAAACTAAGAATTGTTCACTATTACATTTATCTCAGAATATGTAAAATCTATGTCATCCAAATCTCAGTTTTCAAGGTGCAGAAAATAAACAGGTGTCTTCTATTCCGTCCGCAATTTTTGGGGAAAGTAAAATCTAAATTTAGAACCATGGTTGAAACTGAAACTACACATGTATGATAAAAATAGAACGTGTTATTTTTTTCTTAATCAAATTCCGATTTCGAAGGGATAGCGAAATTTGTTCTCTTTTGTTGTGCTTTTGTGTATCATTCAGCAGTAGTATAAGGTAGGGGAAGAAGGGGTAGGGGTGAAGAATAATAGTTCTACAATGTCGGGGCTTTTTATAACCCGGCGACTATATACGGTATGGATTTTCTCATTGTTGAAGGCCGTATGATTGCCTATAACAATTGCTTACATCCACATCCTTTAAGGTAGCTGGGGTGTCTAAATGTTGGACGATAGATTTTTCTTAAACTTCTGTAAGACTTCTGTGTCAATGTAATTTTTAATTTCAATATAAAAACTTGGGATCACGGACCTTGTTTTTTCGTAATAACACATTGAAATTAACGAAATTTGGGTTATTTTATATTGTTGATATAGGGGAAACTTAAGTTTTCCTTATTGCGGAAACATTAAACGATAGAATTGGCTAAAATTCGACGAGAGAATTGCTTTTCATTAATAACTCCGAAATA